GATGACATTCAGTAGAGTTTGACATGACATTCAGTACAGTAAGACACACACATACCTCTCAATTGAGCCAAATCTAGAAAAGATTACATTCAAATCTTCTGATGTAGTCACTGGATTCAATTTACAGACAAATAAAACATTTTCTGGAGGTTTTACATCCGCATCTGGCAAATCACCGACCTATCAAGACATAATATTAATTATGTTTAACACAAGATTAGTTTAATACAAGAATGTAGCTTCATCATAGAAATAATTATAAAAATTATGGTTTTGTTATTTATATACTTCACTGAAAATTTGTTTCTGGAATGTTAGAAATGTTTCATACTATGTTTTCAGTTTGATATATTTTAATTTCAAAATACAAGTTATATTTATAAGCACAGAAGTTGTTAGTTTCTGATTTACTGATTAACATAATTTTATGATTTTCTTATTTTGTTCTCTTGCATAAAATCTAGTGCATTATTCAGTGTAGTAATGTTGCAATCAGGCATATTGTCCAGATTTTATTTTATATTCTATTTCTCAAACAAATATGTTAAAAAACCTAATTTCAGTAAGAAATTACATCTATGCCATGTCAACATGCATTCTGTGTTTAAACATTTACCATTTCTAATATTTGGGCTTTAGCCTTTGATTCCCTTGACTGAATCATCTCCTCAACTTCCTCTATAGATTTCCCTTTTGTATCGTCAATTTCTTCATCAGCTCCAATTCTTCCAGTCTGGTGAGAGACATCCATGCACATCAAAACAAGGTGTAAAACACACAAAAAACAAGAAATTCATCAGAGATGGCAGAGGTAACTGTGTTGATTAGAGGAAAGGACCATACAGCCATTGTAACTTGATAAAATTTAGTAAATATCAAAATTGGACAGTACACAGTAGGTATTGGGAGAGTTAGCAAGTCAGCATGCAATTTACACATATTCACTTCACAAAAAACAGTTTTCAAAATAATGTGTGTTAAACTTAGACTTTGAAACTAAGAAAATAAATATCTATAATCTGGAAGAGAAATACAAAATGACATTTACTGTAATTATTCTTTATGTAGTGTGTTGGCCAGTGTAATACATGTAATGTGCTGGCCAATGTAATACATGTTGTGTGCTGGCCAGTGTAATACACAGTAGTATGCTGGCCAATGTAATACATGTAGTGTGCTGGCCAGAGTAATACATGTAGTGTGCTGGCCGGTGTAATGCATGTAATGTGCTGGCCAGTGTAATACATGTAGTGTGCTGGCCGGTGTAATACATGTAGTGTGTTGGCCAATGTAATACATGTAATGTGCTGGCCAGTGTAATACATGTAGTGTGCTGGCCAGTGTAATACATGTAGTGTGATGGCTGGTGTAATACATGTGGTGTGCTGGCCAGTGTAATACATGTAGTTTGCTGGCCAGTGTAATACATGTAGTGTGCTGGCCAGTGTAATACATGTAGTGTGATGGCCAGGGTGATACATGTAGTGTGCTGGCCAGTGTAATACATGTAGTGTGCTGGCCAGTGTGATACATGTAGTGTGCTGGCCAGTGTGATACATGTAGTGTGCTGGCCAGTGTAATACATGTAGTGTGATGGCCAGTGTAATACATGTAGTGTGATGGCCAATGTAATACATGTAGTGTGCTGGCCAGTGTAATACATGTAATGTGCTGACCAGTGTAATACATGTAATGTGCTGGCCAGTGTAATACATGTAAGGTGCTGGCCGGTGTAATACATGTAGTGTGCTGGTCAGTGTAATACATGTAGTGTGCTGGCCAGTGCAATACATGTAGTGTGCTGACCAGTGTAATACATATAGACTTATTAGATTATACACTTACATCAAGCTGCTCCTTGGTTGGTTCTGGTGATCTGTCTGGTATCTCCAAGTCTGCCGGGTCATCAAAAGGGTCATCTAAAATCACAGTATGGTTTATTCTGGTAATGAACAAAATAAATAAAGTTTTCAAATCAGTTGAAAAATAATTCAGTATATTTATATTTAGAAGCAAGAATTTTTAAGACAAGGACATGCAAGTGGTATGAATTGAAGAAGTCACACAAATTACAATATAATCACAAAGCATGCATACATTTCTATAAATAAAATGCAAATAGGTGATTCTTTGACAAAACTGATTAGTGTCCTTACCTTATATCTTGGAATGGTCTGTGTTCTTTATCAGTGAATGCTTCGTTTATTTTCATCAGGATATTCATACCTTCACTGACTTCACCAAACACTGTGTGCACGCCATCTAGGTAGTCTAAATTATCAGATGTTGTGATGAAAAACTGAAATGGAAATATATCCAATTAATGTTACAATGTTTAAATGGAATATAATACCAATTGTAAGTTACAGCCAATGAATGAAGTATTGAGCATTATTGGGTTCCCCAGTACATTTATTGTTTGACAATTCCATGTATGTAGCTCTTAATGCTTATAACGGTAATATATATACATTTCCATAATATATATAGTTCATATTATTTATTTGCCACAATGCTACACCCACCCCACCCCTGCTCTGATTTGCTTGCATTCATATACAATGTACAAGACATGAACACTAGCATCCTAACATTTTTAGCCAAACTGTGTTTATGAAACACAATATAAGACATAAATTAATTAATAAGACATAATTTTGCAAGAGATAATATCAGAATTCAAAAACCCAGAAATCCATTTATTAAGAAATAATAGGAAGTTTATAGTTGATTCTTGCAATCTACTGCAGTGTACTGCAGTGTTCACAGCATTAGGTCAAAACATTGTGGATAATTCATATGTTTAGTGACTAATTTACATATTCATACCAATCATGGTCATGTGAACAATTGTCCTGGTCATACATTTATTTCTGAAAATTCACACTTGGTCTTTTGTCTCTATGTAGATTTTGTAATCTGGACATATTTGTTTTTGCATATGAAGATTGTATTCAAAAGCTTTTTTAATCTGCATATTAGTGATAACAACAGTTTGGGTTCATACATATGTAGATTAATTATTCAAACACACTTCAGTGTTAAGCACTTCTAGTTGAAATATCACTTTGGTGATGTCAATATGAATTACAAATAAAGACCAAAGAAGATCTGTGAAATGCACATTCTGAGTTTATGAAAATAATACCATTCAACTGACAGAAATGTGATATGGGTGCGTTATTGTTTTTATCAAATTTCGGTGGTAAGTAGCCTTGTAGCCTTCAATAAATTATTCAAGAACGAAAGAAACATGTTATTCAACACAAATAACTAAATAAACAGTAAATTCACAAAATTATATAACATTTATATTTGAACAATTTCAAATAATACTCAAATCAAAACACCACAATATTATAGTTGCACCATCATACTACCTGGAAACTTGTAATAGGATTTAACATATCAGTTATCTCATTTTATATTTCATTATTATTGAAAATTTATTTTGTATTTTTACTTTGTTTTGCATGTAACCAAATTAGAAATGTAAATTTTTCTGAATGGTTAGAATAAAGCATTTTTTAGCATTTTTAGCATTTTTTTCATCTTGAATATGCCATCTGCCCTTTACCTACGAGGTGCACTATACTATGAGATTATTATGAGGATACCCCAAAGTATGTATGAAGACAGTACAGTGGGAGTATCGACCAACACGCAGCGGGATGATGAAAATACCCCATAAAATACTGCAAAATAACTTATGGCGTTACATTATTATACCAACTTATGGAAACACAAGTACAGACTGCTAATGTTATTTACCTGTGATCCATGCATGTCACTCCCATTGTTCACCATAGACACAGTTCCAATCTTTTTATGCTTTATTCTTGGGCTATTTTCCATTTCAAAAAAGCTAGCCTGATCACCATATAATTTACTATGTAATAATAACATGACATCATGACACAGTCAGTAACACAATCCAATACCACAACAGTGTTTTCTCTTTATTCATTGACATTTACAATTTAATTATTACTTTCTAAAACAAACTTTCACAAAGTGGCAATAGTTGTGATTTTCAACATTTATTTTTAAATATAACCACATAAAAATGACCAAATGTTACCGAAACATTGCTTTAGATGGAAATGCATAACAGTAAACAAAGCTAATATCACAAAAAATGCAATGTGAAAAAAAAGCATTGTTGTTGAAATCAGTGAGTCTTGTAATGTGGACTGTCGAAAATGATGATGCATGTGACACACACTATTATGGGAAATGACACACCAAATCATCAGTGAGAGGTTGTCAGAGAGAGGCTTAGCCCAGGCAACCTGGTAAGTTGTCATCCCTGAGATTCACTTGAAAACTGGGTTTCAATGGATGGCACCCATGGAAACCTGGGTGCAGCTTCGTTGCCATCCTTTTTACTTGCAAGTGATTTAACATACAACGTTGGTATAGAGCATATATGCTATGTTTCAGGCAATGGCATTACTGGGGTAATTACATTAATTGACACTGATGATACAGTAAATGTTTTATTAATTTAAAAATAAGAGAAAAAGATTGATAGTTACAGCTTTATTCGCAACACAATACAGCCAACAATTATTTGTAACTTAGGAGAGATTTCAACCTACCTATTCACATAGTTCATACCCACCATTATAGACTCCAGTCAGTCAAAATGACTATTTTGAACTGTAGGCATTAATCTACGATTCAGCCAATGACAGAGAGAGAAATCTAGCCATCTTGCCATATGAACACTTCTGGGGTTTTTTTATCCATAAACAAGGACTAAGCCAATCACTACGGAAAAGTGGGGTGGTCGGAAGGGACCTGGTGGGTATGAACTATGTGAATAAGCAATTGAAAACCCTCTGCCTAAATTTACTATGTTCAATTACGCACCATAGACTCTGGTCAGTCAAATGACTATTTTAAACTGTAGGCAGAGTTAGACGTCGAGAGGTGGTGGGTTTCCAAGCAAAAACAGAAACAATAAAGGGTGTCCCAGCCTGGGACAATATTCCCTACTTACAACTACCACCTAGATAAGACCAGTGACAAATGGTGTCTTAATTTGCCATGTTGTCCCCATAACAAAGCAACTGCTGATAGGGTGATGGGGTTGGCATGCCTGAGGACACTAGACACAAACCCAGATTCTTGGGTGACTAGCATTCCAAAGAAAGAGGCAGACACAGTTCTGCATGAGGGCATAGGTCGAAAGCGAGACATGGAGCACTGTCGGGAGAAACTTCTCCACACAAATCTGTAGCAGACTCTATAGCTAATGTGCAGGGATCCCTGCTGTCGTCCGGGCCAAGTCAGAAACCAAAGTCTGACCCACTACGAGAAGACCCACCCTAAAAGGACCCTCCTCAACGGTTTGGGTGTCCCTTAGGTAATAACTGGTAAAGACATTTGCGTTCTTCAGAAGCCCGCCCTCAGTATATGCTCGAGAGGGGCACCTGATGCAAGAGCAAATGAGTTAGCGATCGCATGAACCCCATGTGCTCATACTCGGTGTCTCTGTAGACCCTGTGTCGAGGATTCCTGATGGGCATAAACCTCACACACTGTCGCAGTGATCCACCTGGAAATGGAAGTTGGGGAGGCTAGACTGTTCTGCTTACCCTGGCCATAACACATAAACATGTGCTTGCTGCCATATTTCGACTCTCTAATATGGTTCTCGTAGTAACTCAATGCTCGAACCGGGCAAAGAAGCAACTTCTTTTGACCCTTCGAACCGAGCATGTTCGCCAGACAGATAAAGTCGCTCAGATAAAGTCCGGAAGCACTACTGGTGTTTCGACTAACATTTCCAACAGTAGTGGAAGCCAGGACTTGCTTGGCCTGGTGCCACCCGCATCAAAATTCAGGTGCGCTCCTGTTGAAGTTCCTCCAGCACCCGGTGAATAGCGTGAAGAAAGAAAAGGCGCACATGTCCATGTGGGTCCAAGGGAACGAAAAAGCGTCCTTGGCCCAGTCAGGAGTGTCACGTACGTCAGAAGCTTGGCATTTCAGGGTGTGGTGAATGGGTCTAACTTTGGAATGGGTCTGGAGGCTATCCTTGGGGTATCTGCCACTCCACGCTCTGGAAAGGCAGTCTCCACGAGAGGGCATCCGCTTGACTGTTGTCAGGTGCAAAGCAAGACTCTGTGGACTCGAACTATGGGTAGAAGTTTACCCTGCAAACTGAGGTTATAATTCCGATGATACACATCAGCTCTTGGAGAGACACAGCGAGAATGTTGACTAGACGTTTGGCTAGGCTGCTTAGTGCTAGGTAACGAGCCTGCGATGAACGTACCAAGCCCGCCTCCAAGTCGAACTTCATGCCCAGAAAGTCAAACGCTGTATTGGCTGTGGATGGGACATTTCTCGATTTACTAGGAAGGCTAAATGGTATAGTAAATCCTGTGTTAGCCTTACTTGCTCAGCCAACAACACCTTGTTGGTTGTGTAGCAATGAGTCATTTAGGTACGGGTTTATGTGTACTGATGCCCGGTGCAACAGCAGCTCCACCTGTTTCAACACTCTGGTGAACAGGTATGGAACCGTGCATAACCCGAAAGGGAGCACCCTGAACTAGACTACTTGGCCCAAATGGACGAATCGAGGAAGTCGCTGACTTGCTGGATGCATGGGTATGTGCGGGTAAGCATTGCTCAAGTCTAGCGAGGCTAAGCAGTAGAAATATAGCACAGAGTAAAACGGTACTCGGCGTTTCCAGGAAGCACATACTGATTATGTCTGCTTAACACAGCCACCTGTAGTCTTTGGAACCACCAACACTTGTGAGTAGAAGCCCAGACTTAATGCAGGGTCCTCTATCCAGTCGAATTGATTTTGCTTTGCGGGATTTCCTGGTAGTGCCCTAAACTGGGGGATGTTGACAGAGGAGGTGGAGATCGCAGCCGGAATACACAGGGTCAACCTGTGTGTGACAGAGACATGTGGATTCAGTGGTTCTACATTGGGGTTATCTCTCCTCCGCGAGGTGAGACCCCGCAAGGCATGTAGAAATCGATAGGTTCAGACTCTGCCTCCCACCGAACATATGCACATCCCCTCGTCGCAGCCGGAAGCCGAGGAAGAGGGGGACCACCACCTGATCCCTTCTTCCTGGGGGCACACCGCCACTCTTCCCTCCCCCGGCTACTTCTTGCCAGTGGGTGCTGACTTTGGTTGTTACGTTTTCTCAGCTTGGGGTCCTTTCCACTTGCCCTTGGCAGAAGCCAAACTGGCTCGCGGATCTCACCTGTACCAACTGGTCGGTGAGATCCCGAAGCACCGAGACTACTCCTTCCATCCTCAAATGAAAGAGGGTGAAGGAGGTCCAGTCTGCATAACTGAGGCGGTGAAGCACCCAGTGAAAACAGCCAAAACAGCATCCCGCTGCAAAGAGGCAGCCCCTGCCACGAGAGCAAGATGACACCACAGGATATCCTGCGTAACCATTTGGTGTCCCACCCACGTCTGTGTCTGCTGGTCTGGGAGGCGGGTGCGTTTCGCCTTTGAGACTTCAGAGTGCTGGAGGCGCAAAACAATGCGTTCCAGTGGGCTGGCCACAAACTCAAAGTTGAGGGTCGCCACTCTGCTCTCAGGCCGTGGATTGTTTTTGACTGAATATTCCATGAACGCGACCATCTTTGCCCGTCCCAGCAAACAAAAATTTGTGATACTGGGATCAGGGAAAGGAAACAAGGGATCCGGTCGGGCGTGAGATTTGGCTCCAGAAACAGACATGGGCCCAAAGTATGAAAAACTTATCCTACTAGCCACTACGTCTACTGTTACCAACAGTTCACAGTTTCTTTAGAAAACTCAGTCGAAAAACTAGAGACTGAATCGCACTGTTTTAGCTACGATGCACACTCAATGCAGAATTGTTTAATTACAGGGTAATGGAAGGATTATGGTAATCATTTCATACATATGTACAATGTACATTATTATAACATGAATGATGTACTAAATTAAATAAAAAGAATATTTACGCAAATACAGATTGTCCTCCTTTACCAGTATAAGTAGGATCTCCAGTCTGCACCATGAAATTCCTCTGTGGAATAAAGAATGTCATCAACACAAAAACTAAAATCATCAAACTACAGCAACACGTAACTATTGAAAAAGAGTTTGCATTAAAACTTTCAGATTAACTTTTGTAAACTGAGCAAGGCGAGGGGTGTTTTACGTCCACAAACCTGCCAAAGCCAAAAGTCGTTTGATACTGCTTCAGTTTAATTTGAATAGATTTTTGAAGGGTTTTAGATGTTAACTAGATACACACAAGTCCCATAAACATATACAACAGTTCATTCCAACAAAGGAATAAATTTGTTTGGAGTCACTATTTCGGATTGCACATTTCTGCTGCAATAATATCGAAGTTATAATGCAACATTTTATCAGTTTTCTTTGATGTGACAAAGTGTTGCCCACCTCATCTATTTACTTCCCAATGAAAAAACATACTATTTTCGATAAAGGTACTAGTGAATTATATTTTACTCAAAGTCTCCTTTGATTTACTGCAACTTTGAAAATATAATGTCAAGAGTAAACAGAAGTACAACAACAGCACAAGCCTACATGATTCTGTGGTGTTTAAATCACCTGTCAGTTGACAAATATGTAATTTAATAATTAATAATAAATTAATAACAATTATATATTAATTAAGTGGGTGGTACTGATTTTGTGTCTTACACAATTGGGTGTTTTTCAAAGGCTAAATATAAAAGTCAAGTCATGCAAATTAAAGTGGGCGACAGGAATCATACAGCAAATGTACAGAAGCCTTTTTTCAGTAGTGAAGCAGAGAAACAGATGGAAAAGCTGGCGTAACTACCTAAATAATGAATCCAGAAATCAATAAAGTGAATCAAGGATCCTGTAATAGATACATGTAATAACATGTAATAACAATAACAGGCACAGATACAACTTGACATGTGTATTTTTATCAACAAAATGGACATTTAGCTGGGGTTGGTAAAGTTAAATGATGTAAAGTCATTGTTTTTGTGACAAATTTCTATTGAGATGGATTTTAAAATACCAAGAGAAAACAAAAAATGGCAGCCTGTTTCTTACCTGTACAGAATGAAATATAGTGTAATTGTAATATTTTATCTTGCATAGCTTCAGAAAATTAAGGCAACCTGCAAAAGAATTCATGACTTGTCATTTTTGTTGCAGTGGTTAGTCACGATTAACAAGTAACATCATGGTGTAAATACATGTAGCTCCGCTAACTAAATAAATGAATTTTATTTCATCAAATGCAGCTAAATAATAAAGAGTATCATTAAAATAAATACATGTAATGAGTTAACAATAATATCCACAATACTGCCTCAATAGTTTGAACAAACTGGATTGTATCAAGATTGTATCAATTGTTGTTCGCATTTAACGTGAAGCCTTTTTCTTAAAAATGAAATTAGTTTGGCAATTTGACAGAGGTCCGCCAAAGAAACATGTATAAAAAATATCAAAGCAATTGAGTTGGTAGTTTTCAACAAGAAGTTAAAAATAGCATTTTTTACCAAAAATGTTTGCTAAAAATAAGAAATTAAAGATAGTGTCATGAAATGAACAAATTTGACACATATACCAAGTATCAAAGCCAATATTGAGCAGGGAGTTTTCACGTCAGATGAGAATCTAGTTATTATTTTTTGTTTATTATTAGTTTTTGATGATATAGCCACTATTTATTGCATCTAGTTGCGAAGAAATTTAAATGTGAAAAATAGCAGATATAATTTGAAAATAATCAAATCAGTCACTCATTCGATGTAAATCCAAATACAATGCGCTTAAAGGGCGTGAGTCGTTGCGCCAGATTTAATTAACTAAGATTTAATTAGATTTTTTAGGTGATTTGAAGGTATCGAAGGAGTCACCGGCTGTAACTAGTACAAGTGGGTGCACCCACATCAAACATCATACAATGTACTTGTGATTTGAAGGTATCGAAGGAGTCACCGGCTGTAATTAGTACAAGTGGGTGCACCCACATCAAACATCATACAATGTACTTGTGATTTGAAGGTATCGAAGGAGTCACCGGCGGTAATTAGTACAAGTGGGTGCACCCAGATCAAACATCATACAATGTACTTGTGATTTTAATTAGATGAGCCCATTGGATTGTGGGAAAATCAATGTTTATCAACACAAATGTCGCACATGTGCAGCACGACGACTACCGCCCTTTAAGTCTATAATCTTATTGCAGATTTACGGTTAATTTATAAACATTACCCCATTACCACAGTGTAAATCATTCACAGTCGTTAAATTTAGTGCGAAATATCATATACTGATGTTTCACAGTAAATGTGGGGATGTGCACGCAGAGAAAACAGAATCATGCATGGTACCGTTTGTATTGCAGTGATATGAGAGCTCAGACAGGATAAAAACGATTATCTGCATGGTGCAAGAAAGCAGTGTGCAGTTTGGGATCAAATGGACGACACATTCACACTAATAGCCCAGGGCGGTAGTACCACAGTCACTTGGGGGCTGAAAATCAATAAATACTAATTTTCCAAAAAATCATCCTCTATACGTATATAAATATATAAATATTTATATACGTATAGCGGATGATTTTTTTTTTTTGAAAATTAGTATTTATTGATTTTCAGCCCCCAAGTGACTGTGGGTAGTACACACACTTTACACTTCATGTGTCACTGTCACTACAAGTTTATTACCTATTACTATACAACGTTATTACACTTACATCGTGGTCTTTCCTCGGTATACAAATCAACTATGATATCGCCCAGCGTTGTTTCTAGAATAACAGCCATAATTTTCAGTGTCGTTACATACAATAAGAACTTGACAAACACAACGACAACAAACACACTTCTTAAGTTGTGGTCGCCGCCATTTTATGTTTTGGAATGAACCATTTTACGAAGTGCCGTGGTACGTTCCCGTTAGTTTGTTTCGTTTCGTTCTATAGCAAGAACATAAGAAAACATGTGAAAAATACCATTGTATGTCTAACAAAAACAACGTGTTTGCCCACTGTCACTCTATCTGAGAGGGACTGTGGTTTGCCAAAACATTTTAATTGCATATACCTGTGTTCCTCAATATTGAATGGTTTTGACTTGTTTACACATTTCTAGCTCGTACACTCGAAAAAACAAATGATTTTTCGCCTTCGAATTCTCGAATTTTATTCATAAGATATACCACCTAAACAAAACAAAAATTTTCTACAATCTCCTCTAAACGTAATTCAGCACCTGTAACTCGCTCATTGCACATATTATCGTGTGACCTCTGACCTCACAACGTACGATCTGTAGTGATTTTGATTGGCTTCGTGTATCGGCTGTCTATATATCATCATTCACTTTCCACTGCAGTTTATTCGTAGTGCAACCTGTCTTCTATGATGTCAGACCCAGTGGTTATAGCGTCAGCCGTTCGTACTCCAGTAGGTAGGAAAATTATAATTTCATTAATTAAAAACCTTCTATATATAGTTGATCGTTGATATCATGTTTATGCTTGCTCGTATCAATTCTTACATATTTATTATAGCATAATTCCATTCTACATGTGTTTATTTTCTTTAACGTTGTAATAAAGCAATATTCTATTTTATTCTATTATGCATTTCCAATGTATTCAAAATCCCGATTTGTGGATCGACAAAACAAGGCGTGATATGATTATGTTTCACAGTGATTGTAATTTGTATTCAAATCAGTACCGTAAAGAAAGAATGGCCATTTGCGTCTCAACATCATAGCAGTGCTTATAATAACTGTAATTTATTAATAATCGTCGGTTCATTGAAGGGTCTGATCACAACGAAGAACTTGGTGATCAACGTTGCCAATGCATAAAATAATCAAATTCAATTGTATACACGTTTATATACGACTCTATGTTTAGGATGACAACCCGGAAGTAATGTAGCAGACGAATATGGAATGTAAAGCAGACGCCATGTTCATGTCGATTTATTTTATTGTTGCTAAGCCTAGTATATGTAGTCGTGTAGTTTATCAGATTGTTTAAAAGATGATTGTCTCATTGTCCATTTCAAATTTGCTATTATTTTCAGGTTCTTGTGTTATTCACATCAAGGATCATAAGATTAGGTGTATGATATGTACAGAAGATCACACACGTTTGAAAAAGGCATTCATACATGATGTGATAGTCATAAAATGGCAAAAACAAGTGAGCCAAAAAAATAACTGATTCATGTTAATTTCACTGTTTTTGGTAGTGTCTGTGCTTATTTGTAAATCATATAATATGCACATTTTGCATTTTGAATGCACTAATAATCTTGGAAGAGGATCTCTTTCAAACATTCACAAATTACAAGAGTTCACTTCTCGTGAAATCTTCATCACATCACCATCCATAGTTATAAAAGTTGCATACTCTAATCATAAAATTCTTTATAAAAATATTATACAGTGCAAAGTTTCTTTTAACCAAAACTGCCCGCCCCCCTTCCCGTTTTAGAATGGGTTAACACTGATATGTGGTTGTGTGACCATCAGTGAGTTATACTATATCACTGTTTTACTAGGATCTTTCAATGGAGCATTGCAGTCACAAACTGCCCATGATTTGGGAGCCATTGTCATCAAAGAAGCCCTTCAGAGGTCACAGGTCAAAGCTGATGAAGTCTCAGAGGTTATACTGGGTCAAGTACTAACAGGAGGTAATGTACAGTGTAGTTGTAATACAGGTTTCACACCATGATTAGAATGTGTATGGATCAATTTGTTAGGTCACAAGGCATCCTACACATTATAGGTCAATTTGCATAACAATATAATATGGTAATCAGTTTTAGTGTATTTATTGCTATGATAATCAAACTCTATTGTTTATGTAAAATTACTGTAAAATACTTTATTTTCGCTATTTTTGCTGAAAGAATGATTTTTCCTTATATTTTACATTCAGCTTGTCAAAAATCATGGGAAATAATTTCCATACAGAACACCCAAAAATTCTTTTCAGCGAAAATTAATTCCAGTTAAAATAAAGTATTTTACAGTATAGGGGTGAAGTCTGTGTCTACTCTGTAATGCTCTGGAAATCACCCTGAATATGTTTTGGTATATGGTACATAAAAAACTTATGATTTTTTAGCCTAGTTTCACTACAAAAGACAATGTAGATGGTTAAAAAATCCAAAGTGAGTCAGTGGGTTAAATTCATTCAGAAATGCTTAAATTTTAATATTATTAATAGAGCAAATATGGTATTGGATATCCTCTCCACTTCACATAATTTGTGACATCCTCTCAGGAAGTGACTCTCAACTCTTTGTGATTGTGGTCGATGTATATCTATATATCCCCGGTATATCACTAATTACAATATTAAACTCACCCTGCAGTGCTGTATTATTGGACTCAGACTAAATTCTACACATTAATACAGTTCTCACTCAAAATATTTACTATGAAGCATTCATTGTTTAAAATATGTTTATAAGTAGCAGTTTTGAAAAAGAAAAAAAATAACATTGAATACTTATTTCAATTTTTTGACTTCATTTCAATTATCTAATTTGTTTTAATTTTCCTCCATTTATTTATAAAAGGCCAAGGTCAGAATCCAGCAAGGCAGGCCAGTATAAAGGCTGGTATACCACACAGTGTGCCAGCAATGGTAGTCAATATGTTGTGTGGTTCAGGTCTAAGATCTATTGTATTAGGCACACAGGCAATTCTACTAGGAGATTCTAATATCGTAGTGGCTGGAGGTCAAGAAAGCATGAGTAAAGTAAGTTGTAACTTTCATTTTGGGAGATGCAATGTAGTTTTTTGATGCAAATTTTGCATGAAATAATTGTGAAGATGTAAATTACATTGTACAATTTGCAATCAGTAAATAAAC